GAATTGGAAATTTAGTATAGATTTCGCAAAATATAATTCCCCCAAAAAACCCAAACATGAATTTTACTTTGCTTGCTTTGAAGGTAGTTCCAGATACTCCACATCACTGACAATACTTCCATAACTTGATTCCCTTCCACCTTCACTGAGCCCATACTCCAAACCCCCAGATCTGGTACCAGGACCACCAAATGAGAGAATAGGAATGGAAACCGGTTGCTGATGGCTGTAAGGTAGAGAAGAAGTCAAGGATGAGGTGGTGGGTAGTATGCTTGTCTTTTTTGTGGATGAAGTTACAGAGTGTATGGGCAGTGTTGAAGATATAGCAGAATAAGATGAAGAGTGTGTTGAAGGAATGCTAGCTTTAGAGGTAGTGCTTGAAGCTACACTTGGAGGAGTAGCTGATCCTTGAGATCCGGTAGTAAAGGTTGACTTGTTGGTGAGTGAATTATAATGTATAGAAGAAGCTATTGGTAGAGTCGTGGTTGAAGAAGGTAAAGATGACATGCTCTGAGCTACTGATGATCCAACTCTAGAGATAGCAAGTTGTTCTCTTGTCTCTTCTAGCATTTGTCTCTCAACTGATAACTCAGCTGACAGTGAAGCAACTTGAGCTCTACATCTAGCAACTTCTTCTTGTCCAGTCCCTTCTCTCAGCTCCAGTTCTTTTATCTGGGTCTCTAGTTTACTTATAAGTTCGTCACGGGTTTTAATCTCGCCATCTCGAGCTCCTCCAGACCTTTCTAGCTGTCGCTTGGTCTGCAAGAGCTCCTCTTGGAGTTGATGGTTTCGCTGGAGGACTTGCTTCGTTTGCTCTTTTGAGATGTTCTCTCTTTGTTTAGTGTTTTCCAACTCAATCTCAAGGGACTCTCTTTGCTGCTCTAACTGATGCAGTCTGGTTGTGATACCCTGCAGGACAGAGGAAAAAAAGAAGGAAAAGTTACATGTATAAATTGTAAAAAAGGAAGGAAAATTGGAGGAAAGAAAAGAGATAATATATTACTGTGTCTTTATGACGAGGTCTTCTCAGATCTTCTTCTAACTCCTGTATTGTCTAAATATATAAAGAATTACATAAATATTTAATACATGCAACTTTCTCTTCACTCACTTTGCATGCTTTGACATATTTCTGTGAGAGGTCTTCCATTTCTTGTGTCTGCTGCCTGAGGTCGGCTTGCCTCTGAGCTAAATTACGCTCCAGCTGAAGAGTCTTTGTAGCAGTCTCTGCTTGATGTCTCCGTAATAAAGCATCAAGATCCATTACCTGAAAGAACAAAGACATTATGTAGCAACAGGAAGTAAATGATAAAAGAAATAACTATAATTATAAAAGTTATTTCTATCTATCTAAAATAGGAGATAAAGGGAGTCTCGTTGTTTTTTTAAAAGGCTACAGCTGCTATGATATACTTTATTTTGAATGAAACAGCTATACTATTGGAGCTCCTTATACACATATACACAAATAAAATGGATAGAGGTTGACTAGTTATAATTTAGAAAAGTTAGATGTTCTCTCTCTCTCACTTGCTGTGATCTTTTATTAAGTTCTTGTTGCATCTCATTGATGGAAGCTTCCATGGAAAGTCTATCAGTGTCGCTTGATTTCTCAACTGTCCTCAGAGTCTCTCGTAATCCCTCAACCTCTCTCACCTTCTCATCAAAACTTAACTGAACCTGGATAGATAAAAATACATTAAATATTATTATCATAGTATTGCAGTGATTATTCAAATTATTAGTTGCTATAAAACAAGCTAGGTTACATTAAGATATAGAAACAATGTATTTTTGATACATACTTTGCAAAAATAAAAAAATATACTTGTTCTTCTACCTCTTTTATTTTTGAGTGAAGTCTCTCTCTCTCTGCCCTCCATTCCTCTGATCTCTGCTGCATCTCAGACAACTGCTGGTTACACTGCTGCAGTCTCTTCTTCATCTCGCTCCTCTCGCCCTTCCACCTCTCACTCTCTCTCTCCATTGCCTCTCTCCCTCGCTGATGCTCCTGTCTCAACTTCTGCTGCTCTGCCAAAGACTGACGAAGAACACTCACTTCTCCCTCAAGCTGACTGGCAAGGAGCGACGAGTGTTGAAGTGAATTCAGTCGGTCCATGAGCGACGATATCTCTTCGTTGGCTCGTTCGAGTTTCTCGACAAGTTTCCGTTTCGCTGTTTCATTTTCTTCAAGTTGATCTCGATGTTTCATGCTTTCTCTTTTCTCGTCAGAGTTATGAATTTGAAGCTGCTCCTGGTATAGTTCTATTTCTTCCTGGAGCTGTCGTATTAGTTTGTTATTAGCTAGCATGTCATCTTTGCATTGAACTAACTGCTTACTGGACACTTCAACCTGTAAGGATTGCCTGTATCATTATTGTTACTAACTAATATGAAATGTACAATGTAGTATTCTAATATAAAAAGCAAAGACTATAGCCCATGGTTTTTTTCTGAAAAATGGCTCCAAAATCACCCCCAATTTTTATTAGATTTTCTGATACATATTGATGTACTTATGTTATGTATAAAGTTTGAGCTTATTCCGACTTCAATTTTTCGAGTTACAACCATTTTAAAAAATGAGCTAAAATCTGAAAAATACCCAAGGCTATAGCCCATGGTTTTTTCCAAAAAATGGCTCCGAAATCACCTCCAATTTTTATTACATTTTCTGATACATATTGATGTGCTTATGCTACGTAGAAAGTTTGAGTTGATTCCGACTTCAAATTTTCGAGTTATCACCATTTTAAAAAAGTAGCCAAAATCTGAAAAATACCCAAGGCTATAGCCAATGGTTTTTTTTCAAAAAATGGCTCCAAAATCACCCCCAATTTTTATTACATTTTCTGATACATATTGATGTGCTTATGCTACGTAGAAAGTTTGAGCTGATTCCGACTTCAATTTTTTGAGTTACAGCCATTTTTAAAAATGAGCCAAAATCTGAAAAATACCCAAGGCTATAGCCCATGGTTTTTTCAAAAAATGGCTCCGAAATCACCCCCAATTTTTATTACATTTTCTGATACATATTGATGTCCTTATGCTATGTAGAAAGTTCTGCGATTCCGACTTCAATTTTTCAAGTTACGGCCATTTTAAAAGCACA